CGCAGTCAGTGCCGTGGCCGTCCTGGTGGCATCGAAGGACACCTCCGGGTCTCACTTCTCCCAGCTGTCCCCTGTTGGGGGCAATGCCACCGAGGTGGTTGGGGCAGAGTGGGGGGACGGTGGGGGGAGCAGGCAGGCACTGTGGCAGGTGGCAGGGCTGGCAGTGGCCATTGGTGTCTCACTGCTTGCCGGGCTGCTCACCGGTACCGCGCTCCGGCTGCCCTGCCTGGCCCAGCCACCCCAGCAGCTCTGCTTTGATGACTCCCTGTATTTTAAGATCCAGGATCAGGCCGAGGGCCAGGCTGAGTTCCTGGGGCCAGGCAGCACCACTGAGGAAGAAAGCCTGGCTCTGAAGGAGCATGTTTAGGCACTGGCATTGTGTGCAGCTGCAGGGAGGGCCAGTGAATGTTACTGGCAGGGGATGTTGCCTGTGCCCACTTCTGCCTCATGCCTGGCTTGGGCTGCTGAGGATGTTGGCATAGCTAGGTCAGCACCACAGCACCAGCACCTCCTCCATCCACCCACCCTGCAGCTGAGAACCCCCTCCTCTGTCCCAGTCACTCCCAGGATCTGTCCATCCCTGGCAGCTGCCAGAGACACAACCTGCTCAAGGTGTCTCGCCTAGGATGGCTAACAACCCCCTACTAACCCAGACAGTCCTGGCCCAGGGCATTAGTGCCAGCTGCTTTGCTCTCAGCAGGCAGCATCCCTGACCCTCGGCTCCAGCTCTCACTCCAGACTCCCCTGCCCAAAATGGGCAACACCTGGAGTGGTCTGCTGGCTCACTGCTGGCTCAGGCCACGGCTCCAGGCCAGGAACTCAGACTCCACTGCCTGGAGGGTGGAACTGCAGCCACAGGGTGAAGGGAGATGGGCCCCAGGCGAGGGATTTTACAGGGATTTGATAACCTCTGCTAGGCGATTCATTCTCCAGGAGGGTTGCAAAGGGAGGCACCAGCTTTTTTTACCACCAGTGCAGCAACGAGGACACAGCCCAAGCACGGCAAGGAGCCTTGGAGAGAGCCAGGATGCAGGAGGCACCCGCAGCCCACAGCACCCTCATCCCACCCTGAAGCTGGAGCTGGGAAAGCTGCGCCAGCATCCCAGGAAGAGCAGTGGCCCCGTCCCATCCCACCACAGGCAGTGAGCAGCTTCCACCCCGCGGAGGACAAAGCCTGTGGTCCATGGCTGGCATGAGGAGAGCTGGGAGCGCGGGGCCGCATCCTGCCTGGAGAGCAAGGGCTGTGATTCACATCCCCCACCGTGATTCAGCGCTGTCCCTGCTGCTGCTGGGACAACATGGGTGATACTCATGGGCTCCCAAGAGGGTCGAGGCCACTGAACCCCCAGCACTGGCAGCACTGGGAGGTTGTTGGCTCAGCTGGGGGTCCCCAACCCTTAACGGGTGGGAGAGAGGCTG